AGACCTAGAACTAGAATCATTCGGGTTTAGCCGTCTTGAGAGACGTGGGGCTAAATCCGAATGTTTCTAGTTTTCGGTCTAGTGTTAGTTCTAGTTTTGCACTAGAACTAGAATCATTCGGGTGTAACCGTCTTGAGAGACGTGCGGTTAAACCCGAATGTTTCTAGTTCTTGGTCTAGTGTTAGTACTAGTTTTAAATGTTGTTTAGCGTTAGATTGTGGTATATTTTTATTGAAATAAAAACACTAGACCTAAAACCAGAAACATTCGGATTTAGCCGTGCATCTCTTAAGTCGGCTAAACCTGAATGTTTCTAAAGAAAAAAAAGAAAAAATTGAAAAAACGATGAAAATATATTTATTAAAAAATATTTAAGATCAGTGCTACTAGTTTCGGGAGTAACTTCTCCCTTCTTCTGGCACGACTGAAATATACAAATTATTTGTTATTATTAAAAATTAACTAGATAATAGGATGTTAATAGTTACCGTCAAATTACGAGATATTAGTCGGAGAGTAAAATTCAATTAACATCTCACCAGAACCACGAGGAAAAGTATAGAAAATACGACACATTGAACAACCTCTAAAGCTTAAAATCCAAAAATTCCAACTTATTGACAAAGTTAAAAGCCTGATGGGCAAAATATAACAAAAGAATTTAAGAATTAACTTTTTAGATATGCACGTGTGGATTTAAATAAACATAGTAAAGTGTCTAAAGATATCTAAAAAGTTTAATTTTTTGAATGTTACAACTTCATTGAGATCCCTTTCTTATCTTATCTCCCGATCATGCGCTAAACTGTACTCGTACGTCATGCGGTTCTTCACATTCAGTCCTCGATACATATTCTTATGCACCAGATGGACTCTCATTAATTTTTTAGTTTTTCAACAGTTTCAGAATTTTATATTAGTAAGTTAACTTTTTCTAAGCTTCCATCATATGTCCTTATAATCTTATCTTTTCAGCTTTAATTTTAGAACCTTCAAACTTTTTTAGATTTTCTTTAACGATGAAAAAATCATGTTTTAAGATTTAATTCTTAAATTCTTTTGTTATATCTTGCCCATCAACCTTTTAACTTTGTCAATAAGTTGGAATTTTTTGGTTTTAAGCTTTAGAGGTTGTTCAATGTGTCGTATTTTCTATACTTTTCCTCGTGGTTCGGGTGAGATGTTAATTGAATTTTACTCTCCGACTAATATCTTGTAATTTGACGGTAACTATTAACATCCTATTATCTAGTTAATTTTTAATAATAACAAATAATTTGTACATTTCAGTCGTGCCAGAAGAAGGGAGAAGTTACTCCCGAAACTAGTAGCACTGATCTTAAATATTTTTTAATAAATATATTTTCATCGTTTTTTCAATTTTTTCTTTCGACCATTACGATGAACCTCGAATCAAAGATCGCAAGATGAATGTTTCTAGTTCTAGTGACAGTGGTATGTAGCGCGCATTAGCATAACATCAATATGTCGCATATTTTTATTGCACTAAAACTAGAACTAACACTAGACTTAGAACTAGAAACTATCGAGTTTAACCGTGCGTCTGAAGAATCGAACCTTTAATGTGATTTTTCGGTATGTTTTACACTTTTCCGCACATTCTTTTTATTTTTAACGTGTTTTTTTGGGTCATTTCACATTGATTAAAAAAAACCCTCGATTTTTAAGCCACTTAATGATTCTTGAACTTTTCCAAAAAGAATCTTGTTTAAATCATTTTAATTAACTTAAATTGGAATATCGATGTCGAAACTTTTAGCAGGTCCGTATTCGCGCACTTTCGGAATTCTATACAAATGATTACTTCCTAAATTGACGATTTTCTTCGGCTCGTTTCTAACCTCAAAGTCAATTAATTTTTCATCAAATTTGGTTGAACTTTTTAACGGCGCATCAATCGGGTAAGTTCCACCGAAAATTAATGGCTTATAACGCACGATTTCTTTATCAGGCGGAGATCCTTTAAAAATAGAACTTCGGATATTTGAAAAAACGTTTTTATTACCAACATTTAAAGGCTTTTTCGACCATGCATCAACGGTATCGCAAATTATGTCGTGTTTCGTTAACGATTTCTTTGTGTTAATTGTTTCGTATTTAATTCTCCTAAAATCTGAATCGAAATCTTTAGCGTTTATTGAAACGTTACTTTGTGAGTCGAAATACTTTACGATTGTTCTTGGGTGTTCCGAACCATCTAACGATTTATATTTAATAATGTTTCCGCGTTTATTTTCGTTATTACTCGGACATTTCATATCAAAAGTGTTATATTTAGTTAATTTAGAATCATTTTTAATTGTTATCGTTTTATTATTATCTTTATAACAAATTAATTGGGACTTTTCCTCGTTTTTAAACGCTACGTTTTTGCTGTGTTTTAATAAACCATCGAATTCGCAATCATCGGAACTGTCAGTTTTGGTGTAAAACTCTTCAGCGCTTTTATTTTTAAAGATTGGAAAGATTTTTGATTTCGGTGACCGTTTAATCAACGACTTCGGTTGCTTTAAATTATTTAAACAATCAATCGGAGGCATTTTCTCGTTATAAAAACTGTCGGGTTTTAATGAATTCGAACGGGATTTTTTTTGTAACGTCACCGTTCTTTTTCGTACGCTCGTCGAAGAAGATCCAAAATTATTCTCATCACATTGAGGCAGAACAGGCACGTCATGCTTGTTACTTACATTTTCCTTGGGTTTTTCCACCTCATCCGTTGGCTAATTAGTAATGAAAACCACAAGAAAACCATTTGGTTACAATAATTATTAACCCCAACAAGAAAAATTTTAAAAGCGCCCAAAAATAACTTTGTTCTTACCTCATTTTGAGCTTGTTGGTTGCTCCAATAATCATTTTCTTGCGGCCGAACACCAGTGTCTTGTTGTTCGGGGATTTGATGCTGTTGGAATTGATCTAAAGAACTTAGAGAGGATTCATTCCATGGTTGTTGCTGTTGATTGACCCAAAATTGTTGCTGCTGAGACGATTGTTGCTCGTGATATTGGTTATAACCGGTAATAACTGAAAAAAACGATACGATATGCATCAAGAAACGCTTCGGTTTTCTCGTTTTAAGAACGCTTTGTCGAATGGCCTCGAATCGAGGGCGATGCGTTCTTTTTAAAGGTCGCCTATTGATTTTGGAACCAAACTTGGAATGGAAATAAACGTTTGTTAATGCAAATTGGGCGACAGAAATCGATTGTCGTGGTGAATACAAACATTAAAAGTCGATGTGTTTGCTCCGGCTGGACATATTAATAGTTTTATTTTTAGAATGGATTTATGACGTTGATAAGATTGTAGGTTTATTTATAGCGAGTTATGACGTAGAAATTTTAGAGACTAGGTCAAAGAAAAGTAACAGATGTTACATTATATATTTATGATTAAATTGAGGTAGGTTAAAATTACAATGTTGGAAATAATTCACGAGCACACCCTGTATAATCCTGTACGTCCCGGATTGGCCGGGACAGTCCCGGACTTCCACCTTGCGTCCCGGATTTTTTTAGAAGCAATATTTTTTTTAATTTATTTAGAATTTTTGAAAAGGTTCTTATTTTCAATATTTATTTTAGATATATTTCAACTAGAATTATTTTGACAAAATTTGAACCGAAAAAATTGTGCATATCAAAATACGCGGCACGCTTTAAACCACTTGAAGTATACAGTGAACTCTCGATTCTGCGAATCCCCTTCCACCTAACGCTCAGAGACACCATGTGTAGCGTAGGCGCTAGAAACCAGTGCTTAAAAAAGAAAATGTACATTCAATGAAGAGTTACAAAAAGAATATCCTTGTATAAAAAAAAACGATTAGCGATTCTGATGTCAGGTGCAACATATGCGCTGCAAATTTTTCAATCAGTCATGGTGGACGTAACGATATTAAAGCTCATTTTAATAGTGGGAAACATCAAAAATCAGCTTCTGTTGTTGCATCGACCTCGTCTGTAACAAACTTTTTAAAATATGAAACAATGGGTTCTAAAGAAGAACTGTTAGCCGCAGTCGAAGACACTTTTGCGTACCATACTGTTTGTCACAATCATAGTTTTAGATCTATGGATTGCACATCCAAATTGTTACAAACAACTCTGGAACCTAAATTTTCGTGTGCATGCACTAAAGCGGAAGCAATTATAACTAACATTTTTGCCTCAAATATTTTAAATATATTGCACTGTAACTTAAAACAGTGCACATTTGTTTCTGTACTAATTGATGCATCCAATCACAAAGAAATAAAGCTATTTCCAGTGTTAGTAAGATATTTTGACTGGAAATCTGGAATTAAAGTAAAAATTTTGGAACTGAACTCATTGCCAAACGAAACGTCCGATACAGTCAGTAATTATGTTGCTGATTGCATAATAAAAAATAATACAAATTCTAATTTTGGCGGAGCGAATAAGAAAGGGCGGAACTATGTTTTTATCAAATTGCAGCAAAAGCTGAACCATAATTTAATAGGAGTTGGGTGTGCGGGTCATACTTTCCACAATACTGTTAGAACAGCTGCCGATATTTTACCGATTGACGTTGAATTAATTGTTTCGAAATTATATTTATATTTCAAGTCTTACACTGTTAAAGTGCTAACTCTAAAACATTTTTGTAGCTTTGTTGAAACAGAATGTTCAATGTTATTGGGCTACTCCAAAACAAGGTGGCTAGCATTACTGCTAGCCATTGAAAGAGTACTACAAAATTTCAATCGCAAGAAAAATGCCCTGTATTTCTTTCAAAATTTTTTGATAATCCTTTTTCTGAAGCTTGGCTGCACTTCGTACATAGTCAAGCAATAGGATTCCACACAGCAATAATTCAAATAGAAAAAGAGACAGTAAGTGTCTTCGATGTTATTGCAGCCATTGAGAATTTGAAAACAATTTTGACAAGCAAGATTCAAGATTCCTTTATTCCTACAGCGGTTTGTACTAAATTAGATAAACTTAAAGAAGAAAAAAAAGTATCTGAAAAGCAGATTATACAGTTCCGAGCCGACGCTGTTTCATTTTATCAGACTGCACTCAGTTATTTACAGAAATGGACAAAGATAAGTTTTCAGGACCTGGATTCATATAGCTGGGTGACTTTAAACAAAACACCAGTATGGGTTGAAATTGAATCTTCGCTATTACTTGTTAATAAAATTACGACAACCCATCAAATATCTGAAAATGATCGTGAACTTCCATTTTCAAATTTACGAAAATTAGCAGAGTTCTTTTTCTGCCTGCCTGGCACAAATGATTCTACGGAAAGAATATTTTCTTTAATGAATAGCTTTTGGACAAGTGACAAGACTCGACTTGAAATAGACACACTAAAAGCGATATTACTTACTAAAGTTAGTTATAAAGAAAATTGTACAGAATTTTATAGAATGCTGTACTGAAAAAGATCCATGGTTCAGAAAAATATAAAAAGTTTTGTACTCAGTAATTCTGATTAAAAAAATCCCCCCCCGCTACAAGTTCCCGTCCCGGTTTTGAAACAAAAAAATATGGTCACCTTAGAATTCACCAGTTTTAAAAATACAGCGAATTGAGGGAAGCCTATGCATATACTTGAAAGACTAATAAAGACTAGCCGGTGTCAAGATCTGTAATACTAGCTCCACACTCTCGCCGAGATCACACGAGGAAACCCGAGTGTGTATACGCTCATCTTGCATCGATCCTCCTTATCTCGCCTCGGCAGCGCTCCATCCAGAGTCGGTTTTTTGGCACGAGTCAAAGAGCTCTCGCCGAGTCTCGTCTCGATGCAAAAATAATCCCTACACACTGGGAATTCTGTTCGGTTATAAACGGTTGTTGGTTTTTTTTCTCCTAACATCGTTACCAATGTTTTGAATTATGGACAGGTTGCTTAAAAACGGCAGCCTAAAATGTTCAAGTGTAGATGCAACAGCTTCAGCTTCAACGTCTAGCTGTTTTAAAAAAACATAGTGATGAAAACAATGACAGCGATACAAATCAAGTCGCCCCAAAAGAAAATAAGCCAATTATAAATAAATGCTTCTACACGTGTTGAATCCAAAACAATTACTAAAAAAACGTAGGAGGTATGATGAAAGTTATATATCTCTAGGATTTATGAACACTAATGGTAATCCACAGTGCGTTATATGCAGCAAAGTTCTTCCAAATAGCTTTATGGCTCCAGCCTGGACCTTAAAGAAAAAAATGTTGAATTTTTCAAGCGAAAGTGTGACGAACTTGTAAAATTAAAAACATTTATGGTTCAAACCACAAAAACGATTAATGAAAAAGCAACTGAGCCTTTTTACTTAGTCAGATATCAGATAGCTTAACGCGGTGAAGCCTACTCAATTGCGGAAAACCTTATAAAACCTTGCGCTATGAAGATGGTAAAATGTATGATCGATGAAAAATCAGCAGAAGAAATAAGTAACATCCCACTATCGAATGACACGGCAACTCAGCGCAGCAGAAATTTAGCAACGAATATACAGGGTGTCACACAAAAAACGCCCCAACCTGTAACTCAATTGATTTTGCTACTTTGATGATTCATGCTACAAATAAATTTTTTACAACGCCATCTTCAATTTCAAATAATTACTAACTTTTGTTTTTCAAATTGCTGCGTATATTTTTCTTTGCGTCATTGGATACAGTTTGTTTTTCTGAATTCATTGATGTACTGTGCATCCATTTTAAATGTAATATTAACATAGAAAAGACACCTGTATATACAGGTTGTCACACCAGAATGCCGCAAGGTGTAACTCTGTCATTTACATTCCAATTTTCATGAGCGAGGTATCAAATGAAAAGGTTTGATGAATACTATGATTCATGCTACAAATAAACTTTTTCCAACGCCATCTTCAATTTCAAGCGATTATCAACTTTTGATTTTCAAATTACTCGGTATGTTTTTCTTCGCGTTATTGGATACGGATTTTTTTTTATGAACCCATTGCTGTACAATATATCAACATTAATTGTAATTGTACCATAGAAAAACATTAAAATAGTTTCCTAACATTCTCTTAAAGTTACTTCCGTTATACTTTAGTGTGCCATGGGAAAAAAAACACCTTATAAATATCATTTACAACTGCTTCGGACATTGAAATAACATTTAATGACTGTTATCAGTTGTGCGCGTTATTTCTTCCATAGCACACTACAGTATTACAGAAGTGGTTAAGACAATGTTCGGAAAATGTTTTAATTGTTTTTCTCTGCTGTATTGTACATCATTGGGTTCAGAAAAAAAATCTCTATACAATAACGTGTTGAAAAATATACCGAGCAATTTGAAAATCAAAAGTTGATAATCGCTTGAAATTGAAGATAGCGTTGGAAAAAGTTTATTTGTAGCATGAATCATAGTATTCATCAAACCATTTCATTTGTTACCTCGCTCATGAAAATCGGAATGAACATGACAGAGTTACAGCTTGGGGCGTTTTTTGTGTGACACCCTGTATAAGAAAGAACTTACTTTTTGCCTGAAATCATGCAAATTTGCATTACAAATGGACGAATCTACCGATGTAGCTGGACTCGCAATATTAATTGTCATCGTTGGGTACCAGCATGAAAACGCAATATCAGAGGATCTTCTGTTCTGCAAATCTCTCTCACCACGTACTACTGGACTCGAAATATTTAGTCTCCTAAATTCTTTTTTTGAAGCCAATGAAATACCATGGGACAACTGTATCGATATCTGTACAGATGGAGCAAAAGCCATGAGTGGCACAATTAATGGGGCTGTACAGCTTATTAAAAATATCTCCAAAAACTGTTCTAGCAGTCACTGCATGCTACATAAGCAGGCTTGCTGTAAAGAAATTATCCCCTCCAATATAGCTGAAAAAGTGAAATGCAAAATAACTTCGGAAATTTACAAATATTCAGAAAACACAAGCACATTGATAAATCATATTAAAAAGAAATATCCTAGTAAAATATCCTAATATTATAGACTTGGATGATATTACTTCTACGACTAAAAGTAAATAGTCCTCCAAC